GCCAATTTATATGCCATAAGACATTGTAAAAATGTTACATTTTCAAAAACAAAAAAGCAAGGTGAGGAAAACTATACAATATAAATCACTTATCTTTAAAAAGTAGGAGAAAAAAATAGGAAATTATCTAGAAGACTAAAAAAGAATCTGAGAAGAATTGTTATACTTTTTGATGTTTGAACAATATGAATGTATTATATATTCAAAGTTTTTAAACTAATGTACTTACTCCTACAAGAATCTCCTCTCAGCCTGACCAGTGTCAGCCATGACAGCAAACTGGAGAGTGGGAAGGTAACACCAGGGCCATTAATTTGGTTTTATCTACATTCCCTGTGGAACGTCACAAAAAAGTCTAACGTTTCCTTCTCCCTGAGGTAATTCCAAGACTACCCCCAAGGATTCCCTGTGCCCTGGTATTCCTGCCCATATGTGGTCAACTTCCATATTATATCAAGATTGGTCTGTGTGATGAATAGTATACAAGACTCCAGCTAGGTTGCAGCTTCTTCCTTGCTTTCTTGAATCACTTCTCCTGCCAGAAGCCAACTGACATGACAGGAGGAGCATGTGACAAGGAACTGAGGCCTCCTGCTAACAGCCATGTAAGGTTTAGAGGTTGACTGTCTTAGTCTACTGAATGAAACAAAATACACAGACTGGGTAGCTTATAAACAAGAGAAATTTGTGGAGGGGGTTGGGGGATGGGGTAACTGGGTGATGAACATTAATCACTGGGTCAGTGATGAATCACTGACCTCTATCTCTGAAACCAATAACACATTAAATGAATTAATTAATTGAATTTAAATAAAAATTAAAAATTAAATAAAATCTATTTTTATTTATTTTTTAAAGATTTTATTTATTTATTCATGAGCGACACAGAGAGAGAGGCAAAGACATAGGCAGAGGGAGAAGTGGGCTCCCTGCGGGGAGCCCGATGTGGGCCTTGATCCCAGGACTCTGGGATCACTCCCTGAGCCAAAAGCAGATGCTCAACCACTGAGCCACTCAGGCGTCCCAGATGAAATTTTTTTAAAAAGAGAAATTTACTGCTCACAGTTCTGGAGGCTGGAAGTTCAAGAATAGAGTGTCAACACAGAAAGGCAGGGACCTCTTCCAGGTCACAGATTCTTGTATCTTCACATGGTGGAAAGGGGTAGGGAGCTTTGTGGGATCTCTTTTATAAAAACACTAATCTCACTCAAAAGGCTGTACCCAGGGATCCCTGGGTGGCGCAGCGGTTTGGCGCCTGCCTTTGGCCCAGGGCGCGATCCTGGAGACCTGGGATCGAATCCCACGTCGGGCTCCTGGTGCATGGAGCCTGCTTCTCCCTCTGCCTGTGTCTCTGCCTCTCTCTCTCTGACTATCATAAATAAATAAAAATTTTAAAAAAGGGGGGGCTGTACCCTCATGACCTAATTACTTCCCAAAGGCCCCATCTACTAATACCCACACTTTGGGGGCTTAGGATTTCAACATGAATTTGGAGGGACCAAAATATTCAGACCTAGCTCCAGTTAAGCCTTCAGGTGCTGGAGCTCCAGCCAACATCTTAACTGCAAAGTAAGAAAAGAAGCTGAGGGATCCCTGCGTGGCGCAGTGGTTTGGCGCCTGCCTTTGGCCCAGGGCGCAATCCTGGAGACCCGGGATCGAATCCCACGTCGGGCTCCCGGTGCATGGAGCCTGCTTCTCCTCTGCCTGTGTCTCTGCCTCTCTCTCTCTCTCTCTGTGACTATCATAAATAAAAACTAAAAAAGAAAAGAAGCTGAGCCAGAGGCACTCTGCTAAGCAGATTTCGAATTCTTGACTCTTGAAAAATATTTTAAACTGGTAAGTTTGCACTGATATTTTATATAATATAACCAAAGATAATTAATAGAAATTTTGGCACCTGGAAGGGGAATGCTGCCATAACAAATATATGAAATATGGCTTTGAAACTGGGCAGTGCGCAAAAGCTGGAAGGACTTTGAGGAGAGTATTAGTACAAGACTTAGTGTAAAAAAAAAAACAAAACTGAACCTTGAGAACACTCTAGTATGGTTTAAAAGTGAAGAACATGCTATTAAAAAATTGAGAAAGGGGTTATGTAGTGGCAGAAAGTTGGTAACACCATCACTGTCACTTATATGAAATGTAGAAAATGTACCTAACTGTGTCACCTAGCTAAGGACATTTCCAGCCAGAGAGCTTAATGTACGGCTTGGTGCCTTCTTGTTGCATATAGTACAATATGAAGGGAAATTAAAAAGTTAAGGGAAGGGCTACTAAAACAGGAGCCAGAATTTGCAGGTTTTCTCAATTTTCAGTCTCTTAGATGGCAAAAGATACTGAAATTAATGGCTACCAAGCAAGTAGCACACCCAGGGCACTGAATAAATGAGGTCTAAAGATGAGAGTATGACTGTAAAATTCTCTAAGGCCCAGAAAGCTAAAAGGTGATGCATCCGGTGAGGCCAAGGGCATCTAAAGATCATGTCAATCACACAATAAGGTTTCGATTAACCTTAAGGGTGTTGTCCCTCAGCTATCTCAGCATGAAACCAAGATGGAGTAGGTCTATCTTGAACACTGTGTGGTTGTAGCTTCAGAATGGACTCCTTTGGCTTGAACACCAATAAGATGAACAGGAGACACACATAGTTTTTAAGAGAATATATTTGAAGAAATGTCTCTAGCTTGCACTGGAAGGGCCAGAGAGTGAAAAATGAGAACTTTGGACTTCTACCTGCTATGAGCAGGAAGCGGGCTGAGCAAACAATTCAGTTAAACCAAGTACTGCCTTTCATATAAAGAGAAGTATGTCACTGTGGGGAATCAAGAGTACTGAGATCAAAGCCGAGACCAAGGCCTTGAGTCCTAATCAATGAACTGCCAACATGTACCTAGTGGGATTTCAGAATTGCTACTGACAAGTGATTCCCCTCTCCCCTTCCCCATTTTGAACATGGCTGTGGCTATGAAGGTTGTCCTATGCCTGTCCCACCGGTGTTGGGTGGGGATGTAGGTGGGCAGATAACACATCTCTTTTGTTCACAGGTCTTAAGATCTAGAAGAACTGTACTTGAGATACTGCACATAAGGAATACCATTCTAGGACCCAATCCACATCTAGACCTGATTTAGATGATGAGATTCAGGAGGTGAATGTATTTTGCATATAGGAGGTATGTAATAAATAATGTGGCCCAAGTATAAAACCTGGTAATTTAAAATTATGCCCATAAATTTTTCCCTTCAAAGGTGGAACCTAATTACCCACCCCTTGGTATTTGGGTTGGAGTTGTGGCTCACTTCTAATGAATAGAATATTGTAGAAAAAAGCAAGTAAAGTAAAGCATCTGAGGTTAGGTCATAAAAGACAGTGCAGCCTCCTTGCTCACTCCCTGGAATACTTGTTGCCTAGAAGCCCGCTAGGCATGTCCTGAGAACACTTAGGTAACCAAGCAGAGAAGCTCATATGGAGGAACTGAGGCTTTCTCCCAACAGAGAGCAAGGAACCAGAGTTTACTGTCAATAGCCACGTGAGTGAGCCTTCCTGGAAGCAAATCCTCCAGCCTGTCAGGCCTTCAGATGACTGTACCACATGGAACTCAAACACAACAGTGCAACACAACTGGATTCCCAATTCCAGGAGAGAATTATCCCCAGTGGGAGATAATATTTTTTTTAAGCTGTTAAATTTTGCAGTAATTTGTTATACAGCAAAAGATAACATACTCCCACCTTGGGCTCTGCCTTTAGTACAGTGGCTCTGCCTATTTAGTCCAGTTTTAACAAGAATCCTGCTGGGTCAGTTTAGAGAAAACTCCCCACCCTTGATATCTAACCACCCTTGATATCTGATCAAATTCCTTATTCTCTACCTTTGATGTCATGAGTAATTTTTAACATTTTGTTGTTATTAGGAATTTCTTTCAAATGAGTATTCTCATACTTTTACCTTTTATACTGTTCCCATGTTGGGGGGACATATTTCTAGAATTAAAAGTTTATATTTTTTATCAGAGAATTTTCTAATAACCCATGCAGCAATTTAAAAAGGACGTGTGTATATAAAGACACCATTTTGATATACCCACACACAGTGTATACCCTCAAGGCTCCAAGGAAAATTTAATTACAATAAAGTCAGACTAAAACATTCAGCCTGCAAATTTTCCTTCCTTTGGGATTAACTTACCAAAAAAGTATGTAGAATGAAAACTTTAATGAAAATGAAAATATGCATCAAAACATTTTGGATTCAAAGCTGTAAACAAGGGTAGGCAATGTTTAAATCCTTTATCAAGAAAAAAAGTAAAGCCTTTAAAATAAAAGGTCTTTATGAAAAAAACAATCCTAAAGAAAGTAGAGGCATAAAATGAATCAAGGCAAAAATAGAGAAAACAAAATTAGTTGGGATAATAAATCAAGGGTTGCTCCCTGAAAAAAGGAAATCAGGAAAATTGATAAACCTGGCAAATCCAATGAAGGGAAAAAGAAATACATTTCAAAATTAGAAATGAGAAAAGGAATGAGATTCTGAGTAGAGGATAATATTCAACTCCAACTGGAAATATTATTTCAGGAAAGGAAGGTTTCTAATAGAAAAGTTATGAATCAGGCTGAGCATAACCTTAGAAACCTAAAGAAAATATAAATGATTGTCTCAACAGATGTTGTAAATTATCCAATAAAACTAAGCAATTTTCTTTAAAAATCCTAAAGGCAGAAATTCATTAAGCAATATGAGCATTACCTTTAACGGTAAAGCATTTCCCACTAAAACCAAGAACAGCAAAACTCATTTACATCTCACTGTTTTGAAGTTCTGGCCAATGCAGTATGATTAAAAATAAACACAACTGGCAGGAAGGCAAGGAGTCTGCACAGTGGTACCAAATAAAAATTAACTTAAACTTTACTGGTTAAAAGATAATAAAACGAAAACATTTTTTCCAAAAAAACATTTTATTACTACAATTGCTATTTTACTTACAATTTTTGGCAACATTAACAAAATAATAAATTTTATCTGAAAACAAGCAAGCAAAATAGACATGGAAATTCACAAAGGGCAATAACAAAATAGTAATCTTGACAGATATTCAATATATTTGTAAACAAAACAAAGTGACATTGCCTTAAAAAAATATAGAGGTATCAATAGAAAAACAGAGAAAGCTCCTGAAAGAACTCAACTCACTATATTCAGTTTCTTTTGGTTACAGGCACAGAAATTGACTCAAGCTAGCCCAATTCTAAGAGAACCAAAGCTTTTAATGATTATCTCTTCCTAGCTTTTTGTGAAAACCTAGGAAATTTAACCGGATTGGAGAGGAAAAAAGGAGTGGGGAGGCTTAAAGTGCCTTTAAAAGGGGGAGGAGTAAAAAGGTGGGGGAGATTCATTGTCAGTATCTTTTAAGAACATTGGTGAAGCTCAATAAACCAAAGGAAGTGTCAAACAATTAAGCGAGGTAGCAAGCCATGCAGGCCAAGGAGAAAAACATTCTAAGAGAAGAGCAGTTACAGAGTCTTTGGAACAGGAAATGTGATTTGCTTAAAGAAAAGCAAGGCCAATGTGTCAAAAATAGTGCACCAGTTGGGAAAATGGTAGAGTAGCATGGCAGAGAATGGAAAAGCGAGAGGAGGTAGATAGGGACCTTATCACCAGAATCTGTAGTTGGCAATAAATAACAATTTGTATTCCTTAGGGTCATACTATAGTTAAATAGCAAATAACAGTTAACAGTGTTGATAATAGCAAGCAACCACAAAAAGAACTAAAATACTTCATATTTTTACTGCTTTGTAAAACAATTTCTGTTATAGGAACAGAGTAAGGGAGATAAGTATGCAAAAGTCTGCACATCTATCTATACACAAGTTTCCACCTGAGACTAAAACAAGTGTGCACATACACATACACACACACACACACACACAATTGATTCACCCAAATGCACACACATACTCTCTCTCCACCTAAAGAAAAAGGTTCAGGCTAAAATATTAAAATATTAACAAAGTGCCTTGGCCCAAGCAAATTAAATAAAAAAGCCTAGTAAAATGTTCAAAGTGCAATTTTGAACAAGCATTGAGCAAATACAACAGAATCTACACTCAAGAAATTCTTTAAAGTATGAACAATACACTCACAACTACTTTGTTATCTGTCCTTCCCAATTCTAGAAGGGATGCTAAGCTGCTGATGACTATCACTTCCCAGTTTTCTGTGAAAGCTCAGGGAATTTAACAAAATTGAAGACGGAAGAAAGAAGTGGGGAGACAGAAGATGCCTTTAAAGAGGAGGAGAAAGCGAGGGAAAATAGTAGACATCTCTCCTTGCTCAGGTCTATAGGTAGCATCCCAGGTTCCTTATGTACAGAGGCTTCTAGATACTTGAATCAAGGTGGAGAAAGAAGGGATGGCACTAGAAAATACCCAGGGAGACTCAATCCTGGGAATCCACAGAGGCAGCCAAGGGTAATGTTCAGGAACCAATACTCAGAGGGCACTCTAGTAATGTGAGTCCTTGGAAATAGCAAGGGGAAAAGATGCCCCCACGGTATAGCTAAGAATTAGACAGCTGGATAAATTAGATAACTCTAAGACCTAATACCTAATGAAATAAATGGGGCATTTCTTTCACATCAGAGTGTGTCAAGGAAAAACCTAAACTCAACTAGTTTCATGAGGGAAACTATACACACAACAGAGAATAACTGTTAACTGTAATACATTCATGTCCAAAGCAAGATATGAAATTGAAAATTTCACATGTTCAACTGCGCATGAAAATTTCACATGTTCATACATGTACACGGAAAAGTATAAGGAAAAGCCCTATAATGGGCTTAATTTTACTCAGTCACCATGGGCTGCTTTTATACACTGTACCTACTATTTTTGGACAACCCCCATTCCAGCTTAGCAATAAGAGAGCTAAATTTAGCCCAGTCCTTGAACTGGATAGATACCATTTGTTTGGCCCTTTTCAGTTTAAACTATGGGTCCAGTGCAGTTCAAAGTATGGATGTCAAGGCTTCTTTCTCTTGAGAAATTTTACTTGCCTTACTACTGTGGCTGAGAGGTATATGCCTAGTTCATTCTGACCAAAAGCCAGCCAGAAGGGAGAGGGAAGGGAACAAGCTGAATTCCTCTTTGGATCACTCAACAGGAGGTCCACTGGCACTAAGCCCCACTCTAGTCATTACCCCTGCCTTTCCAGCTGAAGCCAATGATACAGTGATTGTTTCATGTCTGCAGGGGTCCCTTGCCAAATACAGGCATTTTATTTTAATGGTTTTGCTTCTTTGGATGTTCTAGTGCTAGGAAAAGACACTTTGAGACAGTGTTCCCTCTGCCTTGGCTCCGAGACTAGAGTGAATGTGTGTACGTGTGTGTATTTGTGCGTGTGCACCTTAAACCAAGATAAGAAGCCACTGCTCTCTACTGATTAACCTCCCAGTTTCTGGTGCCCATTCATGCCACACTTTGTCCCTCAACTTCTCCACACTCAGGCTCTCAGAGTCAGACCATCACAAGACACTTCTGAGCTCAGCAGCTCAGCTCAAATGGGATGATGATGTAACAAAGCCATTCCAGTCTAACTGTAGTTAATATTGAAATCTTCAAGGCATGGAAAAAGTTGAAGAGCATATTAAGTACTTAAAATACTCTACAGATTCTATATACAGAACTTAAGAGCTTTCAAACATACAAGAAACATGAACTATCAAAATAATAAATAGGTTTCCACTTTTTTCTCTCTCACATACATATATACACAAAACACCTTTGATGTATTAAGCCAGATACAATTACATGAAAAACAGGTAACAAATTTTTAAATAACATCTCAAAATTCAGATCAGACAATACTGTATTTCATAAATTTAAAAAGAAATTCATAAATGACTCATTGGTTTCACTATTTTTGATGATACTGAATAATGTATGGGTTGTATTTTTTTGTTTCCTATGGAGTTTTTGACTTTGATTGAAATACCTGCTTTAGAATTACTGAAACTAGAATTAACGAGGTTTTTTTGGAATTCTACTTTTAGACCTGGGGGGTGATGGTTCAGAATCAGATGTGCTCACAGTAACAGATGCTAATTCCACTGATCCTGGTTGAAGAGGTCCCAGTGACACTTGAATAACAACCTTTGTTTCGGGGGGCAATCCCTCTAGTTGCTTAGGTTTCTTAAACATTTGATGACACTGGGTCTTATGCTCCATTTTCTCCTTGAAAGTTAAAAACTGTAGCCGGCACTTGGAACACTGGTGAACAGTCTTTTCCCAGTGTCCCCTATAATGACACATGTATGGTGTTGCAGTTTTGAAAATCTTAAGACAGAATGGACAGAGCAAATTCTTAGTGTTTTCATGACATGTTCTGAAATGCATTTCCACATCAGCAAAGGCTGACGATCTGTAATTGCAAACCTGGCACACATAGGGCATTTCACCAGGCTTATGATTGTCCTTCATGTGCTGTAAGAGAACCTGGTCTGTTTTGAATGACAATTCACAAATTTTACAGACAGCAGAGGGCTCCTGGGTAGTGTGTACACTTTCAATGTGACATTGAAGTTGGAAGGGAGTGGGAAACTGTCGATGGCAGTGCTGGCAGGTGGTGTGGTTTTCCCAGCTGTCAGCCCTCTGCTTCTCAAGTTCCAAATGGTGCTTCATGTGATTCATAAACTTGACGTTTTTTAGAACTTTCAAGCAGCTGAGGCATTTAAAGGTTGTGTGAGTCTTCTGTTCTGGCTGACTGTCTCCTTTATACTGCCCATAATAAAAGTCATGAAGTAATATGACCAGACTTCCTTTCTTGGAATCAACAATCTGGTTTTGACTTGCTAGACTCAAAAAGTCTGTTTCTGTCAGTTTGTTTTCCTTAACAGGGCTTATAGGCTCGAAATGAACACTGTCCTTTGGAAAAGCTGTTGGAAAAGGTGCTCCATTCTGAACATGGCTTAATGAGGTATGAACATTGTTTGAGAGTGTGCTTTGCTGTGTAGTCATTGTATGAAAGTTACCTGAAGGGGACAAAGCTGAAGCATGTCCCCCTATGATTCCATCACTGAGCTTAGGCCTTTTGGGATTTGTATCATTTACTTCAGCAGTGGAAAGTCGCTTTGATATGCAAGTACTTTTATTCATACCTCCTACAGAAAGTGCTGCTCCTCCTGGATGCTGTAATGAACTTGTGAATGTAATCAAAGGAGAACATAACTCTGAAGAGCTATCAGGCACGACTTGTGGTGAATTATTTTTATAATCAGGTTTAGACAAAGGCTCAATAATAATAGGACTATCTGTTGATCTTGATTCAGATTCAGAAACTGGCAAGTCGGTCACTGCTTCTGATACAGGGGTCACATAACTTACTGGCTGCAATTCGTGAGTAGTACCTTTTCTGAGGTGACCATACTTTTTTCTCCTTGAACATGAACCTGGCGTAACTCTATTCAAAATGTTTGAAACAACTGGTTTTGAATTTGAAGTCACTCCAACAAAGATCAGCTCAGCATCATCATTTACATGTTCCACTCCAACAAAGATCAGCTCAGCATCTTCATCTACTTGTTTGGTTTCTTCTGCATTCTGCTGTGGTTCTGGCACCTGTTCTTCCTCACATAGCATACATGGTTGTTCCATTTTCTAATTTTTTTTTTTTATTCTTGAAGGTGTGGCCACAGTCCCAGTGCTTTCTTTATGTAAACTGCCACCTAAGTACAAACACAATACACATCAGTAAGTACAGAAAAATGCATTGTCTTATTTCTCTTCAAAACTCTAATATCCTTATTTTATAAGATAAGGACAATAAAAATTAAAGGATAAATGATAGTTTAAAGCCTACTATTATTATAAGTCTGTGCAACTCTAGCATCATAGCTTTGCCCTATGCTGATCATGGTTTCTTCTATTAAAAAAAAAAAAGGAAAAAACCTAGTAACTAATCACTAGGTGAAATCATACGTAAAGAGTATGCTATTTTACAAAGGCACCATTGTGCATGGTTTAGAAATATGGGCTTTGGAGTCAGAGAAGATTAAGCTGGAATTCTAAGTCAGCCACACACCAGCTGCATTTCCTTTGGCAAGTTCAAAACTTTTAAATGTGGTTCTGTATCTTAAAGGCAAAAGATCTTATTTCTTAGACTTAAGGTAACAGCTCTTTTTAAAAAGCACCAACAATTCAAGAGTACCTTATTTTGTAGTAGAATTGAAGAAAATTTTACAGTAAATATACATATCTCAATTGATTCAAACATACTAATTTCATAAATATTAACATAAAAAAGAAGTGTCAAAGTCAAAGAACAGAGTAACAATACCTACCCACAGTCAACAGCATAATTCAATGTCAAGTGCTTAGCACATGCCCAGCAGATTGAAACTCTTGATAATCTCATCCTAATTCAAGGCCTTAATTATAGTCTATTCACTGATGTCTCCTAAATTTCTCCCTCCAATCCTGACTTTCCCACTGAACTTCAATCCCAGAACTTCCTCCCTCCACCCACTTCAGTCTCTTCTCCACATGGCAGAAAAAGCGATTGTCACATCACATTATATCACTGCTCAGCTCAAAACCCTCCAATAGCTTTTTGCTTCACTCAGTAAAAAGTCAAGTGCTTCCAATATCTCCAATGCCTGTAAGACCATGCTTCCAAGCCTACATACTGCCCCACAGTTATGTCCTACTCTTCTTCACTATCCACCTCACTGTAACCACAGTACCCGCCTTGCTATTTCTTGAACACATTAAACACTTTACCTTGTTTAGGGCCCTGTATTTTCTGTCCTTCTAATATGAATGCTCATCATCCAGTTACCTGTATGGCTGACTCTCTTACCATCTTCAGACCTCTGTTCCAAGTCTCCTCAAAGAGGTTCTCAAATACTCCAACCAACTGCTAATTCACATTCCCAATCTCTTCCCTTCCCCTCATCTTCAAGTCCTTATCACCACCTAACACATTATAAACTTTATGTATCTTAATTCTTTTTCTACTGTCTATCGCGTAAAATGTAAACTCCAAAGAACACAGATTACTTTTTGTTGAAAGAACAGTGCTTGGCACAACATGGGAGCTCAACAAATACAGAATTTGATAAATGCATTAATAGTAACTTTCATTAATAAGAACATCTATTTGTAGAATAGACTGTTTTCTTTTTTTAAGATTTTATTTATTCATGAGACAGAGAGAGAGAGAGAGAGAGAGAGAGAGAGGCAGAGACATAGGCAGGAGGGGAAGCAGGCTCCATGCAGGGAACCCATGCAGGACAATCCCAGATCCCGGTAGATGCTCAACCACTGAGCTACCCAGGCATCCCTAATACCACATTTTCTATGATTTACTCTTAGAATCTTGTCCATGCCAGATATTCTGTAGGCCTATGAAGGATTGAAAGCTTCTAGTTTTTTACAAACATTTTTTATCACAACCTATAGTAAAACAAACAAACAAAAAATGCATATGGAGTCTCACTACCCAAACACGTAAATAACAATTGCTTTACTACATTGGATGCTTATTCTAATATTTTCTATTTCATTTTTCTTAAATTGACCATGATGTAGGTACTTTAAACTACGGTTCATAACTCATCAGTTTCTGCAAACCTAATGTCACAGTTCATTGTACCCAATGTAGACAGACCCTTCAAATCCCATCTATAAAAATTAAACTGGCATCTAATATGTGCTATGTACCTCCCATTAATTTAATTAGCACATCAGCATATAATTTTGGAACACATATTTAACCCTGAGATTTGTGTACCAATTTCAAAGTAAGTTAAAAAATAAATAGAATATTAAGCAGAAAACTTATTTATTCTTTTCGTCACTTGTTCCACAACTATATCTTGCTTGCCCAACACTGGTTTGACACTACCAAATACTAAGTAGAAAGTGGTGAGCATGAAGCTTATAATCTAGTGTTATGAATAGCGATTTACAGCCTTCTTAAAATTAAGTACATAATTAGGTGATATGTAATGCAAGAAAACATTTAAGGCACATCTGAAAACACTGCACCAAAAATTGGTTTTGTCTGTCTATATACAATTTCAATCATCTAATTCCATGCTAATGCCACCTAGTCTACTGTTTCCCAACATAAGCACCGTAACACTTCTGAGCCAGAAAATTCTATGTTGTGGGGGTTGTTGGGTACACTTAGGATGTTTAGCAATATCCCTGACCTCTACTTACTAGATGCTAGTAGCAATCCCCTACATATGCAATCAAAAATGTTCTATGGGAGAACTTATGCCCTCATCTAACCTTCTCCTGAGAATCACTTCCACACTTCTAGTAACTGTCTGCTAGGTAATTCTACATGATACTCTAATATCCTCTGTCAAGAAATAATTCTAAATTGAAACTATTATTCTCCTCGATATCATAAAAATCAGAATAAAATTTACACTTAAAAATAGAAATTTTTAATAAAAAATAGAATAAAAATCTAATTTGACAATTAAAATAACCATCAGAATTATCTGAGGATAGACTTTTTTTTTAAGATTTTATTTATTTATTCATGAGAGAGAGAGAGGCAGAGACACAGGTAGAGGGAGAAGCAGGCACCAAGCAGGGAGCCCAACATGGGACTGGATTCCAGGTCTCCAGGATCACGCCCTGGACTGAAGGTGGCGCTAAACCACTGAGCCACTGGGGATGCCCTGAGGATAGACTTTTAAAACCCAGAAAAATTTATGATTCACCTAAGTTACATGTAAAGTCTGCAGAGAGCTAGCACTAAAATTCATGATTCCTCAATTCTAGTTCCTCATTCTTCCCACTAGAACTCTAACTTAATGCATGTCTAAATTTCTGGTGATGATGCAATTAATTGCTTAGTCTCTAAGGATCAAAGAGTCTCACTGGATTCATTTTCACTCTCCCTATATTTTATAAAAACTGTTCAAACCTTCCCCAACCTCCATCAAATTACTCACAGAAACTTGTAAGTGTAGTTCTAAGTAACTTTTTGGAGCATTAGTCACTCTAAATGCCTTTCATTTCCATTCCTATTAAAGCTCCTCCCCTCAATATCTAGCTTTAAGTCCACTGGTTACTTCATGTTTGTACATCTATACTAGGCTCCAAATTGTCTTGTCTCTCTGTCCTTCCAATTATCACCAACTGCATACCACCACTAGATGAATCTTAAAACACTTCTGTAATAATATCACTCCACTATTCCTCCATTTAAACGACTCCTGCAATTTTAGAGAATAGACTTTCAGTTATGCTATGGACCGAAATATGTACCTCCAAAACTCATATGCTGAAGCCCTAACTCCCAGTGTGATGGTATTTGGAGATGGGAACTTTGGGTTCCCATCTATTAGGTGTAGATAAGGTCATGGGGTGAGGCCTCCTGATGGGAATAGAGCCAACAAGAGATATCAGAAAGCTTGCTTCTTTCTTTGTCTTCCATCTATGATGTGAAGACACAGTGAGAAGGTAGCTGTCTGCAAGCCAGAAGAAAGGAAGCAAATCAGCCAGCACCTTAATCTTGAATTTTCCAGCCTCCAAATCTATGAGAAATCAAATTCTGTTGTTTAAAAAAAATAAATAAACATAAACTGCGTTCCAGGGACATTGCTGGACTTTTCACCCAATTGATCTTGGTAGGATTTTTAGCTGTTGACCATACTGATTAACTTTCCATCCAACCAATCATTCAAGATGAAAAGATAGGGGAAAAAATCAAACCTAAAGCGAGTAAGTTAGTGAATGAGTTCATTTAGAACAAGAATAACCTTAGACTATGGGAATTTCCTTGTCACTTCTCCTCTGGTATCTTTATTTTCTACAATTTACCAGAATCTTAAGATACCGGGAGTCAGGAGGTTGGACATGCCAAAGATCTACTAGATCTAAGGAACTAATCCTCAAAATCACTTTATATCCCCTATCAACAAAGCTGCCAAGGGCTGTGGAAGGAGTTAATGAGAAGATTTCATGCCAAAGATACCTGAGAGGACAGTAGTAAAACTCATCTCCCAGGTTATTCCTATGTATTTAAACAATGGCCCTCTTCATGGGTCTTTGTTATAGCCACACAATAGTTTTTTTTTCAGGCATTAGTCCTTCTTGAATAGCTTCCTAAGATTAGGCTAATAGGACTCCTCTGATACCTATCCTCACCAACCTCCCTTGTCCCTCTTTTCACCCCACTACCGCTCCACCAAATCCCTATCCCTACCCCTTCACTCTTTTCCCATCCATAGCACTCATGTCTCTTCCCCACTACTCTTCTTCACTTTTCTTCCATTAACCCCAACCATCTGCCGCCTTAGAATGTAATGCCCATTAAACACATCCTTGGTGGAAAGGAGAGCCTCACAGGATCCTTAAAACTATAGTAAACATTTATATTCCACTTTAGGACAACTAAAGAAAACAAAAATAATGTTTTCATAAGTATTTTTATTTTTATTTATTTTATTTTTATTTTATTTTTTTATTTATGATAGTCACACAGAGAGAGAGAGAGAGGCAGAGACACAGGCAGAGGGAGAAGCAGGCTCCATGCACCAGGAGCCTGACGTGGGATTTGATCCCGGGTCTCCAGGATCGCGCCCTGGGCCAAAGGCAGGCGCCAAACTGCTGCGCCACCCAGGGATCCCCTTCATAAGTATTTTTAAATAAATATTGGTCTATAAATAAGCTTAGGGCAGTAGCTGTGAAAAAAAATGGG